TGCCAAATCAATGTTTACGTTTAAGAAAAAGATCAAAGTCGATTTGTTAAAAAATATATGTGAAGTAGTGTTTGTGTTTTGTATCAATGGTCGTTCAAGAAGGAGTTATTTATTTTGTTTTGTTACTTGAAGATTATTATTGTTTGAATTAATTGTTTGGAACAAAGGAGCAGATAATTTTCTTCTTTCTGCTCCTTTCATTTTTTATTGTATTTTTTATTGTTTAAGGAATTGTTTCGTTTTAAAAAATGAATAATTTTATAAATAAAATAAATTTACATAACTAATACTATGACGTAACAAATGTTCTGAAATTCTGTTCTGGCGTTAGTTTTAGCATGCCACCCCAGGAGTTTCAGTGGCCCCCACATTGTTGGGTGGCCCCCTGTTAAAAGATTCTGAAGGTGCCACTGAGTGAAAAGCATTTTAACCATCAACTAGGGAGCACCAGCCAGTGGATCTCTGGTTCTGGTCCAAAGCCCAGGTAAACGGTGAGCACCGGTGGCATGGCGGTCGTTAACCCGGGCCTCAACCGGTCCGGTATGGTTTTTTAAAACAGGTGCTGTTGACAAACAGGGAAATTGAGCTGTTAGTTGAAGACCACAAGGAGGGAAACGTGTCAGGAGACAGAGGAGAAGAGGAAAGTGAAGAACGTAGGACTGAGGGCTGCAACTCTAAATGTGGGGACAGTGACAGGCAAAGGTAGAGCTGGCTGACATGATGCTGAGAAGGAAGGTAGATGTTTTGTGTGTCCAAGAGACCAAGTGGAAGGGCAAAGTGGTAAAAATGGTAAAGTGAAAGTAGAGTTAAAATCAAACAGTGGAAAGCACCAAAACTTATTTGTACACATGAAAGTGAAGCTTGAAGAAGCTCTAACCTCGGAGGTAATCAGCTCAGTCAGGATTTATAAACTCAGTCGTTTGTTACACACAAATAAGTTTATTTGGCAGGTTTCACATACAAACTTCCAACAAAGTTAAAACAGATGTTACATTAAATTAACTGCATATATCTGTCGGACGTCGCAGGATTCAATTCTTCACAGTCCTAAACTGAGATGATTTGTTTGTTCAGCCTCAAGCGGAGCACCAGTCCAGTTTGATGAAACGTGCCGGCGCTGTTGGAAAAACCCAAACGTTCCTCTGAACGTGGAACGTGTTGAACAGATGAACTGCTCCGCTGCTCAAACACAGGAACTAAACGTTAAAAAAACGTCTGCAGTTTGAAAACACTGAGAAATCCTAAATATCATCTTTTCCTGTCGGTCTTATAACGAACAAAAGACTCAGCCGCAAATATAAAAAGAAAAAAGTTAATTTGATACGTTCTTTAATATTAAAGAAGAACACGGCTGATTAAATTATTTATAATTATCACTGACATTTCAACATTTTCCTCAAACATGGTGGTTTTTCAAAAAACAAAATTAAATACAATAAAAAGGTCAATAATGTGATTTAAACTGAACTTTTTAAACAAACAATTTTATTAAAAAAAAAAATACAATTCTGGATTTTATACCCAAGATTATAATTCAAACGGTCCAAATGTGGCAGTTTGAAAATAAAAAACTATTTTAAATTTAGCATTTTTCCCCTTTAAGGCCACATTCAGTTTTAGGCACTAGTGCTTTTATAACTTTTTATAAATTAAAGGTTTTGGGCTTTATTGCAACACAAGCACCACAGTCGCTGCGTATTTATCATTAATTCAAGGAAAACACACAAAAACACATTTATACACATTAACAGAAGAGTTGATGGAAAAGGCAGAATAGATGTGTAAAGATGGAAAACAAATAAAATGCTGTCATGTTCATGATTATCTTTTTATTTTGTCCTCCAGTAAAGATCAATATTTGGTTTGAATTCAATAAAAACTAAAACATTCACTCAGCATCAGCTGATTTTATTTTAAAGTAAGAGCAGCTAAATTAAAAAACCAATAAACACCAGCAGCTGAACTGGTTTGTCCTTTATCAAAACACATTTATTAATGTTTCCCATGACAAAGAGTAAAGTTTATAAAGTGCAGCCTGAGTTTTATGAACCGGAGCATGAGCACGGAGAAGCAACATGGCCGCCGGGAAATGTTGACGTTCGTGTCCATACAGGAAGTTAAATAAAATATAAAGACTGCTGAGATACCACAGTAACCAGTTTAACTGATGTGTCAAAACTGATCAATCCGTCTGAAAATATGTTTTTTGACAAATGAACGGAGCGACATCATCGGCGTACGGTAAGATTCTTTGTCGCAAAACGTTGAGCTGGTTAACGGTTAATTTAACTTTCTATTTAAATCCAACAGAAATAGTTAAAATGAATGATATTCAGCCAAACTGGTGCCGATGTTTCCACAGACTGTGACAAGACGGTGTTTATTGATGAAACGTCTCGTTAGCTTGAACTTAACGAGATGAAACGTCACTGAGGTCGGTGGAGACGAAACAAGAAAACAAAGAGATTTCACTTTGAGTCGCCACAAACTGAACGAGTTCAAAGAGAACAGCCAGTAAAGTGAATGTTTGTGCAACCTGAAGCTCATCGCTCCATTTCATCACAAAATGTCTCAATCTGGGGTTGAAACGTCACCAAACTGTCCCAAAGTTGTCTCAAATGTGTCTTTCTGAATCACAGGAAGTAAATAAAGAAGAAATCAAGGCGACGGTTTGAGACTCACGGAAGGGAAACGGGAAGCTGTGAAACATTTCCACACGTTTCTTTAAAGTCCAGCAGGAATCCATTCATGAAGCTCCTCAGAGCTGAAGACTAAAACTGAAACTTTGATTTACCAAGAAATGTTTCTTAAACGTTACGTACGACGGAGCTGCCACGCCAAGGGAAAATTAAAGCCATAAAATTATGAGAATAAAGTCGTACGAGAGTTTTAGCAGCTCTCGTGTTTTTGTTATTTTTTCTCCAGGAGTTGAATCCATGACGCGACCTGTCAATCAATCCAGTAGGCGTGTCAGCAAATTACCAATCCGAAGCGAAATGAGTCGTAATATCTGAACTCTGACACGATAAAGAAACTTTACTGCATTTAAACTGGTCAAATGAAGAACGTTGAACATCTGGTTAAATTATACTTTGGTACTGGTTTTACAAATAAGAACATATTTAATCTGTCAGCACATCAGCATCAGATTATTATCAGTATCAGGACACAGTTAATCTGTTAGCACATCAGCATCAGATTATTATCAGTATCAGGACATATTTAATCTGTCAGCACATCATCAGATTATTATCAGTATCAGGACACAG